TAATTTTGACTACGTGATACATAAAACTTATTAAATTGATGAATCAAGCAGAGAACCAGTTAGTTGTTGCATCGCGCAAAACAAGTTCTGATCTGTTTTTGCATCGTGTGTGTGTTTTATTGGCAGAATGCATGTTTGCCTGTTTGCGAATTGCGTCGTTGAATGTATGTACTCGCATTCAACGCATGATTCAACTCATTGAATGAAAGAAACAGTTGCACATTTTCAGACGAATAAATTTATTTCGTGGAAAATATTTATATCGGCGAGACGCGAGACGCGAGACTTAAAAAGTGTGATTTTTGCCAGTTTTCAAGTTCAAATTGTGTGCAGTAGTTGAGATAAACACGAATTTATTTACTTCAACTTATCTTGTGTTAGCAATCAAAGAAAAACTAAAAAAAAATCGCGTTGAAAAGATGCGACGGGTAAAATGATGGCAATAACTGTCGGAGTCAATCGAGTATGAAATAAAACCGCGTGGTTTTCAGACAAAGTGTGAAGAATACAGTTTTAACGGACAAATCTGACAATTTCCAACGGAAAATTCGCTTGGAAATAAATAAAATGTGTTGTTATTGATGTAAAACTGTTCTTTGAACGGATATCTATTGAATTTGTTTATTTATTAACCATTTCCATAGAAATATCTCACTTTTTGCGCAACTTAACCTATAAATACGCGTTTTTAACAAAAATAACCTCAAAAGTTGTTATTATTCCTGTAAAACTGTGCTTTTCACGGATATCTCTTGTATTTGTCTATTTAATATTGATTTTCATAGAAATATTTAACTTTTTTGGTAACATAACCTATAATTTTGCGTTTTTAACAAAAATAACCTAAAAAATTGTTGTTATTGATGTAAAACTGTTCTTTCAATGAATATCTTTTCTATTTGTTTATTAACTAATCATTTCCATAGAAATATCTCACTTTTTTGTAACATAACCTATAAATACGCGTTTTTAAGTAAAATAACCTCAAAAGTTGTTATTATTGATGTAAAACTGCACTTTCAACAAATATCTGTTAAATTTGTTTGTTTATTAATCATTTTCATAAAAATATCTTACTTTTTTCGTAACATAACCTATAAAAACGTGTTTTTAACAAAATTAACCTCAAAAGTTGTTATTATTAATGTAAAATTGTATTTTCAGCGTATATCTTTGATATTTATTTGTTTAAAATTCATTTTTACGGAAATATCTCACTTTTTCCATTACATAACCTATAATTACGCCTTTATAACCAAACTAACCTCAAATTCTGCGCGATAAAATTTTAACCCGTAAAAAGTAACTTGTAGTGCCCTTCACGATGACATTAATGTCCCAATTCGTAGAATTCCTCGCCTGCCAGCTTCCACATCAGCCATCTTGGCCTATAAATCACGCAGCAATAAGAAGAGACGAAAAACTCGTACGACTTGTACCTGCAACTTTTGCATAATGCATGCGTATTATGATTTATACGTCGTAATTATAGTGCACACTTGTTACACATGCATAAACTAGGTACGCAGTGCGCAGTGCACATTGCGACCTTATGCGCGCTTTTCCATTTCTTTTTTCAATTCGCATTATGCATTATTGCGCCGTCGCCTCGCTGAGAGAGAGGTTGATGCACCTAAAATTAATTCCGAGCGTAGTGCATCGACATTTGTCTGGAATGTCTTCTAAATTAATTTTGTTATGCATAGGAATATAAAGTGTATTGATATTATTTGTATGAATGCAAATTTGAGATTTTTTGTTTGTTTGTTACTGATGTACTCGTAAACCATTGAAGCGATTTTGATAAATTTTGGTGTAGAGATATTTTTGGTGATGGAAAAGGATATAAGCTACTTTTTGTTGCAAAAATATAATATACAGGGTGTAAAACAAGCATTGAAAGTTGATATATTAATTAAATCATTATTATAGTTATGTAATTCTAACACAGATGGCGCAAAACTGTATTATTGACATTTTTTTATATTTTTAAACTAAAATTTAAAATTTTTTTGAAAATTTGGCACATTTGGCAATTAATTAAGCTGTTTCTCGATTAAAATTCACGCAGACAAAATTCTAGATAAAAACTAGTTGAATATATGATAAAAAAAAGTGTGTCACACGCACTCCCCGATAAATTCACGTGCAATATATTTATTTCAACTCAGTGAGAGGAATTGTTGATGTTGGACGCGGTGCAAATTCGGAAAGCGCCAAAATTCGCCGCGAATAAATTTAAAATTCCGCGTGTGTGCACACACGTGGCGCGTGAAAATATTTAGTTCGCGCATTTAAATCTAATACCAATTCTAAATAATTTACATTTACACAATTGTTAACACACGCACACGCGATAGAAATAATCACAAGACAAGGCGGAAATTGCTTTTAATTTTTGATCTTGTTGATGATCTTGTCATTTTGGGTCAGGTTTAAATTTGCAATTTCATGCATCACTCACGTGATGGACAACTTTAATTTGATGAATAATCTCCGGATATTTATTTTCCGAGTACGAGTAAAGTTTGCAGTTTGGAAATTTATTTGAAGTGCTTATAATTTATGACTAATCAAAAAGCTCCCACTTGACTTTGAATACATACATTAACTCCATATCGTAACGCATGTCCGTGCGCAAATCCCAACGAAAATAACCTCAATCCACTCCACATCCATACGAATTAGCATTAACTTGATATCTTGGCTAACAGACAGATTTCTCGTTCGCTTCGCATTTCACATTTCATCAAAATCAACATGGAAACTTCAGTTTCAGTTAAACATACAATGTAAAACGCTTTAATTTCGAATTTGCATTTCCGTGTTTGCATGAAAAACGACTTCCGCATTTAACGCAGTAATAAATTTACTCAGATTTCCAAAAATTTTATTTTTATTTTTGGTTTTGTGTATTTTTGCTGTTCGGTGATGATCTGTGAGACAGTGACAAAGATTGGCTATTATTGTGATTTTGGTTCGGCCGCTGCGCACCATTGAGCCGAGGTTTTCCGGCTGCGTTTCCGCGCGTCGGTCGGACGACGCTAAATCAGTCCCTGTTTGAATATCGACGGCGAGGAAGCGCCGGGACGCCGAGGCGGCCGTCGCACCGAAATAGCGACCATTACCGGCGACTATCTTTAAACGCCTGGCGAACGTCATGCATTTTCTACACGGACTTACCAAGTACTACAAGAAGTTATTACGGTTTATTATTACAATAGGAAATGATTTTTACTCGTTTTCGCCTGTTTTCAATTTTAAATCTCAAAAAACTTGGTAAAATAGCAATATCAACGTAATTTAGCATCATTTTTATTATTTCTAGTTAAATATTGTTATTTTTAAGCAAAATAAACTAAAAAAATCAATTTTTTGACATTTTTCATGTAAATTTGAATATAAAACTAATTTAAAGCCATTAAAACCGTGTTAGATTATAAAATTTATTTATAAGGAATCATTTGTACCACTTGGCATTCATTGCTCGTGAATATAAACTACTATTATACATAAAAATGTAAATTTGTATGTTTGTTTCGCTTTCACGTGAAAACCACTAAACCAATTTTAATAAATTTTGGTATAAAAATATTTCAGATCAAGCAAAAAAACATAGACTACTTTTTATCTCAAAAATATAACTTACAGGGTGTTAAATAAGAATTTAAAGTTTAAAAAACAATTCAAGCACTCTTATAATACTTAATATAATTAGTTAAGCATATTATTAAAAGTAAATATTAAATCGTGATATATTCATGGCCCCATCGTTTAAAATAAAAACCGTTCGCGCGGATCTGGTGTCTGATTGAAAGCCAGCGCGCGTCACGGCGCGCGCAACAGCTGTTGTGTGCGCCGCGGCGGGCGTCGTTGCGCGACGCGTCCGAAGATTGAAATAATACGAAAATACACAAAACGCACACGCATTACGGTAATGTATACGCGTAAGTAAGTAGCGCGCAGAACCGTCCGAGATTATTCGTTATTCACGCGCGTTCAATAAACACAGCGAACGCGTAACGCGTGTTTTGATGAATCGAAGCGCGACGTGCGTTGTGCAACAGCATTACGCGATTTAAAAGAATGAGAAAAACGCCATGTGTGAATGATTGACAAGCACATTGATCAGAAAATGTTATATTTTCATAGGGAGATGAGAAAAATGCATGAATAAAAATATTTGTTAGTTTGAACACGTATAACTCAAAAACGGCTGGACAGATTTTTATGATCTATGACTTTTTGGATTCATCTTTGTCAAGAATAGAAGAATAAATAATAAAATATTGCAAAATTTGATATACAGGGTGTTGAAAAAGGGTTGAAAGTTCATATACGGATTTAATGATAGTTATAGTTGAATAATTCGATTATAGAGGGCGCTAAAGTGCATTATAAGCAAAACTACGTATTTTAAATCGCGAACAGAAGCAAACAAAAAAAAAAAAATGAATCTTATGCTTCCATTTAACCTAACTTTTAACTTCTTTGTTATTTTCTAGTTAGAAACACGCTAACACACATTCCACGTGTTAATTTAATTTAACAATTCGTCACGGTGTTTTCGTGCTCACCGCTCCCCATTGTGTTCTCGCTGATTTTTCGCTCGTTTTATTTTCTCATTCAATTTTATTACACGTTAAAGCCGTTATTGTCTTAACAACAACAGTACATACCAACAAAACGGGTGAAACTTATAATCATTTCAACTTTTACTGCTTTTGTTCCTCAACACAAAACAATTTCGGTAATTAAAACGTGTCTAACACAATAATCAACACCCAACAATTTAATAATAATTAAATACTGATTGTTTACTTCCGGTTGCAACTTTCTTTCACGTCTTAATCCAATTCTTTTATTGTATCTTCATTAGATTAATCTTATTATTGTTAGAAACAAGAATAGAAACGAAATGTCAAGCAGAATCACGACACAAAAGTCCAAGTCACGAGTTTAAGACACAAACAAAGACCAACAACATTAAAAATGCGCACCTCGTCTTCGCTGTCAACTCCTTTGTCATCCTAAAAGCAGAAAAGCAAAGCGTTTCAAAGCATAGCAAAGCAAAAATCAAATTAAACGCAATTAGCACCGAAAATCAAGCTGTAATCGGCGCTGAAAGCCAATTAAAAACAGTTTTAATGTGTTAATTCCCTGTCGCGACGAACATAACCTCAATTTACAGCTATAATCGCCGCCTGGCGGTTAAGATTATTAATACAGGAATAAATTGAAAGCAGAAAACAATTTCGATATCTATTTCTATTCGCAGGCTAATAAACGACAGGAAGTAAGAATCTTCAATGCATAAAGTGTTCATATTATAGAGCAACAGGTGATCTTAATGGTTGAATGTATGTGTGTGTGCGTAAATTTATCACAAAAGTATAGTTTAAGTACAGATTTGCGCGTATTTGTGTTGTGTTAACACTGCGCGCGCCGAAAACGCTCAAAGTTATGTCGGAAAGCGTGGTAAACGTTACAACGAATAAATAGTGCGCAAGTTTGGACCGGCGGCGAGCGTTTCGAGATGGAAATGTGTGCGTGTGGCTCGCGGCGAGCTATTTTTGAATGGATCCGTCATTAACTCGGCTTGACGGTGCTTTATCTCCGTGGAGTTGCGCGATTGCGATGGTTTTTCGCATGATTCAATGATTTTTTCAATGTTTTTACTTACTTCTTCGATTTTGATGCTGCGCCGCACTGTTTTGGTACTTCGCACTTCCTCGTACGTCTCCTCGACGGTGTCGGAATCCATTTTTAGGCGTGAAGTGTCACTAATAACTTTTTTTGTCTTTTATGTTATGCACTACGTTTGTAGGATGAGTTTTTGGTTTTTAGGGGTTACACGGTGTTGTAGATAGGCCGGTATGAAGGCCGGGGTCCGTTTACGATGAGACTCGGTATGATACTGATTGGATTGGCGAAATGCGACGGGCGTTCGACAGTGTACGGCGTGCGCGCAGTGTGATTTTCCTGCTGAGCGCGTGGAGTGTGGAGTGTGGTGGTGATGCGCAAGACGCTTGCGATGAGCGGCTTTCTCTCTTTCTCTCGCAGGACTGGCTTACGGTGGGTCTAAATTTAAGTTTTGGTTCTGGCCGGCTTGGAAACGGCAGGTGATTTGTACGTGTGCTGTGCACACAACAGTACTGGTACTAATGGTGTAAGAGTTAAAATTTTGAATTTTTTAATTTGTAGGTTGTAAATTTAAATTTTCTATTTAATGCTAATAGTAATTATGGTATTTATTGTAAATTGTAAAAATAGATTATTTAATTAGGTTATTTGTGTGGTTCTTTTTATTACTTTTTCATTGTTGTTTAATTTTTCGTTGTTACAGGTATCTATTGTTGTATTTTAATATAGGCAACCAAGAAAGCATGTATTCTTCAGCAGGGACAATTTTACTTGACAGTTATTTTGGAAAATATAAGTTTTTGCTTTAAAAGTATATCACAGAGTATGTAAAACCCCGAATGCACAATATATCAATATAAATCTGTACTGTAGTTTACGTAGAATATGAAATACCGAGTGTTTTCTATTACAACTTCTAAAATTTTGAAAAATTCAAACATTTTTCTTAGTTTTACGGCATTTTATTTGGGTTTAAACATAAAAAATCCAAATTATTTTTATTATTGAAAATTTTTGGAAAATGGCAGTTTTTCTTTGGTATTTTTAAGTATATAACTTACTAGCTTTAACCCGCGGCTTCGCTCGCGAATATCTAAAATAATATAGTTGCTTCCGTACGCGTCTGTAGTCACAGAAGAAGTAACAATGAAGTAGAATGGCGGGAAGTTTAAAATGGCTGAAAGTATAGTCTATGGAAGTATAGTGAACAGTCTCCATAGTGTAGTCAATTGGATTTGATGTTGACGTAGCTGTCGGTAATACAGTGTGATAATACAGTGTGATGGTACTATAGTACTTAGGTTTGAGCTTCATTGCTGGAATGCTAGATGGCGTTAAAGTAGTCAAATAGCCAGATGCAGAGGTATGATTGGCTAAACAATTTCTTTAATTTATTTAAAAAATAATTTTTTTTATTAAATAAAAAGTAGCCTATAACCATTCGGGGACCACTAAGAATATGTGTACAAATTTTCATGATGATCGGTTAAGTAGTTTTGGCGTGAAAGTGTAACAAACATCAGGACTTTCGCATTACTTCCTATACCTATAGTAAAACTTAGTTACATGTAAATATCTGCATGAAGGCTTCACCAAAAGTGAAAATTACGTAAAAGTAATATTAAAATCAATTAGCAAATGCTAACACCATAACACAACAGATTCTTGTTGAATATTAAACATTACTTATAATGAATATTTCAAATATTATCTTCTTATCTCTGATAAGTATAATATGATGCAAGAATCACTTCTCAAAATATTACCCAAAATGTGATTTCCAATTTGGCCGCGAAATTGATAAGCACTACTATAAAAACATAAACGCTTGTCACAAAATAACATCATACTTGTACTAACTTCCATGATGAAGACCACCATCTTAATTCTCTGCGCAGCTTCCGTTGCTTTAGGTAAGTCGCATTATTGAAAGTTAATTTTCATTTAAATTGATAATTTTAACATTTTATTTATTAAACATTATTTATTTATAGCCTCTCCACCCAGTTCCCGCGTCGTTGGAGGTGCAAACGCTGACAATGGTCAATTCCCCTACATGGTTTCACTCCGTGAAAATGGCGAACATGTCTGCGGAGGCGCCATTCTCGATGAAATCAACATCTTAACCACTGCACGTTGCATCCGTGATTTAGACATCTCCACTCTTACTATCAAAGTCGGTAACAACTCACTCAACGCCCAAACTGAAGAATACCCCGTCTCAAAACTCATCCCACATGAAGATTATGACCACACAAAAGCTTCAAATGACATTGCTATTATCAAAGTAGCTAATCCAATCGAATTCCGTGAAGGGGCTGTCCAACCCGTTACTTTAAGACAGACAAACATTGACGATCTTGTCTGGGTTATTCTTTCCGGTTGGGGTCATACTTCTTCTAATGGTAACAAGCCTAACAAACTGCAGGCTATTTACTTGAAGACACTCAATTATGAAACGTGTGCTGAATCTCACAGTTCAAGCTGGCCAGTGACGGAAAGCAACGTTTGTACTTTCACTACTTATGGGGAAGGTCTTTGTGAGGGTGACACCGGAAGTCCATTGGTTGACATGTTGTACAGGCTTGTGGGGCTGTCATCTTTTGGGAAAGGATGCGGGATTGGTTATCCTGATGTTTATACAAGGGTTTATTCTTATTTGGACTGGATTGAAGTTAATCGCTCTTAAATCAACTAAAAGTTATTATTGATATTGATAATAAATAAATTTTACTTTGAGAAACATAGTATTTGATTCAAAATGGCGATTTTCATCATAACCTAAAAATATTGAGTAAAACCTTCAATTTATTGTTTTTAGTTGTGTTTGTTTCATATTTAGACTGAGAACTACTGAAATTATCTAAATTTGTGAAATTTTACCTTCTATTTTAAGTGGTCCACTTGAAACAGACTGCAAATGCCCTCTATCAGTGCTATTATTTAACTTGGATAACATTTAATCAAAATAACGCCATTTTGAAGTTAAAAAGCATCAAATTCTACTCAATATTACAATATTTTTAATTCAAGTAAACTTCTCAATAGATTGTTCAACAAAACTTGATAAAACCGGAGCAAATCAATGCTAATATTTGGTAAACTTGAGATAGACGGCCATTTTGACTATTAGAAGTTTTGACAGCACATTTACTGCTTTGACAACCACCTGCATCAACTTCTGAGTCATTTTCAATACAGATTTACCTAAATCTTGCCATTTTCACATATCAATACATACTTTTCATACAATTTTAATAGAATTTGAGGTTTTTCTTAATTCAAACTGATCTAATCATCATTCAATCAATTTTTTCCACTTTTGCAACCAATCTACACCATTCTTATCAGCTATTATACAGATATCACAATAAAGTATTGAATGACAAGCATAAACTTATTTCAAGAGCATAGACATTGATAAGAAAACAAACAACAAGAAAATAACGATATTTTATCACAATTTTAATTAACACACTTACTAATAATAAAACTCATTACAAACAACAAAACTGGTTCATTCAATTGCAATTATTTATTACAATAAACAATTGTAACATAAACTTAATAAATAACAAAATAATAATAGTATATATTTACTTAGAAATACTTAAATAAACAAAATTATATATTAAATAAGCATAAAAACGCAAATTGATTAGGTTTACACATTGAAAACAATTAGAAATTGACCTGATGATTACCACGACAGTAATTTACAATAATTACAAGTAATATTGCCTAATAATAATATAACTATCATAAAAATAGATTTATTTAGTTCATTTTGTCATCCAAATGTAATATGCACCATTTTGTATTAATTTCCTCTTTGATCGTTGATTGTAGAAGGAAGCTGCACTTCTAACCCATCCAGTTTCTCAGTGAGGATAATTTGACAGCCTAATCTGGATGTATCAGTGAGTTCATAAGCCAAATCCAACATATCCAGCTCTTCCTCAGTGGCTTTGTCAGGCAGCGAATCAAAGTCAGGTTTCTTAAAAATTAGATGGCAGGTTGAACAGGTGAGTGTGCCTTCACACGCACCAAATCCATCAAGGTCCACATTGTTGTTCACAACAACATCCAGCAGCGATTCACCAATTTTTCCTTTTGCTTGTATCCTGTCACCGTTTGCCTTCACAAATGTGACTTTTACTCTATGAATAATTAAGATTTATTTAGAAAGTTTTGTGTGTATTTAAATTTCATTAGTTAACTTACTCTTTTTTGTCTAATTTGGGAGCAGTAGTGTATAATAATTGTGTTGGTAGATTTAGGCGTGTGTTGAGTAGCGGTCGCAGTTTGCTAGCACCTCGTAGTACGTTCGTCAGCACCATTTTGAAATAATGTGTTTATTAATCGAAATTTTTATTGTAATAGATATTATGTAAGTTGTGAGCAGAAGCTCCAGGCGAGCGAGCGACTAAAAGTGAAATCTACGTCGCGCAGCGCTAGCTAATATCCACATGAATCACATGTAGTAGAGTAGGAGGGTGCTGAAGGTTCATAATAATTATCTATTTGAGCTGGAGTGGCCCGCGACTATTCCAAACATTGATAATTATTTATTTAACCAGGCGAGACAAGAATTGCACGATTTCAAGGATTTCAAGGTGAAATGTCAACGTTGAAGGAATTTCGGCTATGTTCGGCATTTCTGTCAAAAGTTTTTACCTGATATTTTCTTTAATATCTATTAAATTATTTTAAGTATCACAAAACTTAAAACAAACATTAATTACTAAAATTACTTTATTATACATATTTTGCAAAATAAGTTTTATGGCGATTTAAATTTTTGTTGTAAATTTTATTATTTTGACAGATGTTTTGTGCGCAAGCGCCATCACGCACACGCGGCACAAATTGTAACCATTCGCATTCGCATGCTCGAAGATCTTTTCCAGTTCCACCACTTTCAACAAACGAAGCATCGCGGCGAGTGCAGCGCGTTCTCGATAGTGAGAGTCGGGTTTGGGTGTAACCAGTAGTGGCGTGTCATGTAGTCATGGATATCGTAAACTTACAATTTTTGTTGTTTTTTACACTGGTTTATTCATCAGCGAACGCAGGTAAATACCATCTTCGCTTACAATTCATCCCTCGTGTCGGGGTGTCGTTCATTTAGGCTAGGGATGCGCGTGCCGTCATTTTACAAGTAAAAACGCAACTCACGAACGCGAATGTATCGCTTGCATACGTAATAACGGTCACATACCAAGCGTAAACAAACAAAAGACAATCGCGAAGAGGGTAAACAAAACACGATCGGATTATGTTATTTTTGTTTTTGCAAGTCAGTCTGAAATTCTAGTAGGATTTAATGTTTTAATTCTTATTATTGTTAATAATTAACACAACTAGCTAGTAAATATCAAGTGAGTCATTCAATTGAAGAGTGTTTATTTTATCTTAGGAGGTGGAAAATGTGATTCATTATTGTATGACATTCTTGGTATGGAATGCGGTGTTATAACCTGCAAAGGGATTTTTCACGAAGATGAAAATTCCAACGTGGCGGCATAAAACATGACATTTAATTTTTGTCGAATTTTCAGGTATATACTATGAGTATGAATGCAACTACCCACTACTAGAGAAGGCAGCAATCAAAGCAACTTCATCATTGAGTGAAAGAGGTCCTGAAAACGCCATTCTCTATGGTAAGTCAAAAATTAAATTATTTTATAAACGCGTATATTAATAGAATGAGAATGATTCTTCAAATTCAAACTTTAAATTTGATTTTCTCTCAATTAATTCCTGTGAAACTTGATCTCAATTAGGTTAGCCGATCAAGTTTCCGCAAATTAACTTCTCCACAATCCGCCGCCCTCATAAAAATGTCATCGGCACGCTGGGCCTTCGACTTTTCGCGTTGGCATCCGACCGAATCCGACCTGCTGCTGGCCACGTCCTGCGTGCAAAGCGAGGAAAAGGAGCGCCTGGCACGTTTCGTCTTCCGCAAAGATTTCAAAGCATCGCTTATAGGCCGTTTACTAATGCGCAAATACATTCACACAACCACGCACATCCCTTATGAATCAATTCGTTTCCATCGCGATGAGAAAGGCAAACCGTATTGCGATACCTCCGAAATCGCGTTTAATGTTTCACATCAAGGGAATTTCGCTGTGTTGGCTGGTAGTGATAAACCCACACAAGATTATCAATTAGGGGTTGATATTATGAAACTAGAATATACTGGTGGTAAAAATTTAGAGGATTTTTTCCGGATAATGACCAAACATTTTTCTCAGCATGAATGGGCGACAATTCGCGGTGAAAACACAGAAAAACATAGAATAGCTATGTTTTGTAGGCATTGGGCGTTGAAAGAAAGTTATGTAAAGGCTATAGGTGTAGGTATCACGGTTAACTTACAGGATATTAGTTTTAAAATAATTACGAAACGTTTAAGCACCAGGAATTGGTAACAGACACGCGGTTATTTTTAAAAGGCGTGAAACAAGACTGGCGCTTTGAGGAGCAACTGCTTGATGAGGAACATTGCGTGTCAGTGGCGATAAAATGCACGACAGAAACTGAAAAGGGCGCTGAACCGAAGGGGTTGTTTGAGATTTTAACATTTGACACGCTTATGGATGGTGCTGTGCGGTTATTAAGCGAGGATATTGATTATGTTCGCGATTATGCCAAAAGTTGGAGAAAAATTAAAATACTGGTTTATTTTACCCAAAAGGGAAAGTTTTAGAAAGTTTAGAGGGTTGTTAATTGGTATAATAGTAAAAGGGAGAAAGTAAAATTAAGTTTAATGTTTGAAGAATCATTCTATGAATAATTATGTGATTTTTGGTTGATGTTATCCTTACCCCAGTCGCATATTTCTTTAAAATAAACTCTAATAACAATATTTGGTGCCTATGGTATTTGATGTTTATAAATTAAAAGTAAATACAGTCACGGTTTGTTTACGAGTGCATCACTTCACTGTAGATGTTGATTTATTTTCGAAAATAGATTTGACGTGCCATAAATTATGAAACTTGGCTTTGATCAAATTAAAAATCAAAATTTTTCGATAAATTTTTGCTTAAAACTTAAAATTTTGATTAAATATGAAGCGTGAAACAAAAATTTGTGTTATTTTGACTCTAGAAGTTCATAACCCCTGAAGAAATCAACAATATAATTTTTAATAACACGCAATTTGTTACGACAGCTCACGCGATGCCAAAAAGCGTTTTATCAATGAAATTTCCAGCATGTAAGCACTCAGTAACTCATGAGTTATTCGACTTTTGACATCTGCGCGGATATTAAGAAGCAATTTATTTGACCGGCACTGAATGGCACCGAACGAAGTTTTTATTACTGTGTTATTACCATTTCCGTAACGTCCACAATCCGCATTTGTGTCCTAATAGGCGATTTGTTTGATTTATCAATTTGTTTCGCCATCCCTCATCGGAAATGTTGCGACTGCAACACGAAATCTGCGTGCTGAGGGTTACATTTCCCCATTCCTTACTGTACATACACACATTTTTTACTCCGACCGGAATAGAATTGCATGCCAAGTAAAAAACGAGGAATATTATATACACACGCGTATGAAATTAGTCACAGTTCGTGTAAACTGCCAGGGGTGGTAAATGTGTAACGTAATTTATTGTTTTCGCATGCGAAATAGTCGTTTTTTTTTTTATGTGAAAAATTAAATTGCGATATTTTTAGTCTTAGATGCTTTAAAATACGATTTTAGTGCTTCTATTGTATTAATTTGTGTTTAGTTGATGTCGTAGTGGTAGTTTTTTGGTTTATTTTGCATTATTTTGTGTTTCTCCACGCGAAAATCAGGCGCAAATGCGTGGACGGCCGCCTCGAGCGACTTCGACCAGCAGCTTATCATCGACCTGGGGCAGATAATGAACGTGACACGCATTTGGACGCAAGGGCGCGCTCACAGTCCTGAATATGTGATGGAGTACAGCATCAGTTATGGCACCAACGGACTTGATTATGCCGATTTTAAAGAACCCGGCGGTAACATCATGGTGAGACCTAAAACAAAACATTACAACAACCGAATTAATTATAAATATATATATAAATAGTTGTTTTTAACATATGTATAACATTTTGATTAATTAACATTTAGCACGCTTGTGTTTCGCATGCATCGATTTCGTGTCTAACCGTAGTTTAAGCTCTCTATTTCTTTGATTGCACGCTTAGTTTCGCTTTGTTTTTCGCTCTCACAATACACACAACCCCCTTGATTCCACAACTTCCTAAAACATTAACAACAAACGAGGAGGTTTTCTGGAGGTGAAAACGCGGTTGGATCATTGTTCGCTTACTAACAAAACCATTCCTAACTAGGGGATTCGGCATGGAGTCCGGTGGAGAGCACGTACTATCACTTTCTCACGTTCGACCTGGGCGGCCGGTTCGAGGTGCGCTCCGTCGCCACGCAGGGCCGGTCGCACTCGAACGAGTACGTCACTGAATACGTTGTGCAATTCTCTGACGACGGCGAGGCGTGGAGGAGTTTTACTGACACACGGGGCGAAGTTCAGGTGCTTACATTCTTTTATTCTTCCGCCAAAAACTGTAACAAATGCAATTATTACGCTTTGTGCCTTGAAATATTTACTTAAACATCAACAAAATCAAAAATGTCTCCATTTTAATCATGCGCATGCGTGTTACCCAGATGTTCAAAGGTAATGTCGACGGAAATTCGGTTGTGAAGAACGAATTCGAAGTTCCAATCATCGCGCAATGGATTCGTGTGAATCCAACGCGTTGGCGCGATCGTATTTCCCTGCGTGTCGAGCTCTACGGCTGCGACTATGGTGAGCAAATTAACTCTGAAATTACCATTTTCGATTTAATTATTGATTTACATTTGCATCGGCACAGCTTCGGAGACGATGTACTTCAATGGCAGCTCACTGCTGCGCATGGATTTACTCCGTGCGCCGATTTCGGCCGCGCGGGAGACTTTCCGCTTCCGGTTCAAGACCATCGCCGCCAATGGCATTCTGATTTATTCCAGAGGGACGCAGGGTGATTACATCGCGCTGCAATTACGCGATAATCGAATGCTGCTAAATATAGATCTTGGTAAGTTAATAAAGAAACAATTTTCTTTTCTTTTGTGTTGATGACTTGTTGATGAATGTATTAATAAATTAATGGGTTATTAGGTTCTGGCATTGTGACGAGTCTATCAGTCGGCTCCCTGCTGGATGATAACATTTGGCACGACGTTGTGATATCCCGCAACCGGCGCGATATATTATTCTCTGTTGATCGGGTTATTGTTCATGGTCGTATCAATGGCGAGTTTATGCGACTTAACCTCAATCGTGGGTTCTATATCGGCGGCGTGCCTAATAATCAAGAGGGTTTGCTTGTCGTGCAGAACTACACCGGTTGCATTGAGAACTTTTACATCAACTCAACAAGCGTTTTTCTTGATATCAAAGAAGCCAATGAATGGGGCGAAGCTCTCAAATATGAACGTATCAACACGATGGAATCCTGCCCGGAGCCGCCGATTATTCCTGTCACATTCCTCACGGCTAACTCCTTTGCAAGACTCAAGGGTTACGAAGGCATGACTTCTTTAAACTCATCATTCCACTTTAGAACCTATGAAAAAACAGGCCTGATGTTATACCATGCGTTTTCTTCATCCGGACACGTCGCCATCTTTCTGGAAACCGGTAAAATAAAAGTGGAGCTGGTCACGCCGGATAACCCTCGCGTGATTTTGGATAATTACCAGGAGACCTTTAACGACGGCAAATGGCACAGTGTTGTACTGACAATCAACACCAACACCTTAGTCCTGAGTGTGGATTATCGGCCAATGAAGACAACGCGCAGGTTGAAGATCGTCACCGGTGGCATTTACATGATTGCCGGTGGCATTTCCGGAACCATTGGTGATCAAATCCAAGCGCATATGCCTGGATTCATTGGCTGCATGCGCACGATTTCGATCGATGGGAATTTCAAACTGCCCACGGATTGGTCCAAGGAGGAGTATTGCTGTGAGGATGAAGTTGTGTTTGATGCTTGTAGGATGATTGACCGATGCAATCCGAATCCATGCGAACACGGAGGTATTTGCAAGCAGAATTCTTTGGAATTTATGTGTGATTGTACTGATTCTGGTTATGGTGGTTCTGTCTGTCATACATCATTACATCCGTTGTCTTGCGAGGCGTATAAAAATGTCTATTCAGTAGGACCCAAGCATAATATTAAAGTAGATGTTGATGGAAGTGGACCTTTGGATCCCTTTCAAGTTACCTGCGAGTTTTATTCCGATGGCAGGACGGCTACAGTGTTACAACACAGCAATGAACATGTAACACATGTTGATGGTTTTCAAGAACCTGGCAGTTTCCGGCAGGATATTCAATATGACGCGAATGATGATCAAATCGAAGCGTTACTCAACAGATCCCTAACTTGCCGACAACACATTCAATACTCATGTAAATCTTCAAGATTATTTAATTCTCCTTCGGATGAATTAAACTACAAACCTTTCTCGTGGTGGGTGTCACGGCATAATCAACGTATGGATTATTGGGGCGGTGCACTGCCTGGATCAAGAAAATGCGAGTGTGGAATATTGGGAAATTGTCGTGATCCAACAAAATGGTGTAACTGCGACGCTAACTACGATGATTGGGCGATGGATGGCGGTGATATCACTGAAAAAGAAAATTTACCAGTGAGACAATTGCGTTTTGGTGATACTGGTAATGCTCTGGATGAAAAAGAAGGACGATATGCGCTCGGACCATTGATCTGCGAAGGTGATGACTTGTTTAACAATGTTGTTACATTCCGCATTTCTGATGCTACAATTGGGTTGCCTACATTTGACATGGGTCACAGTGGTGATATTTACTTCGAGTTTAAGACAACGATTGAAAACGCTGTTTTGTTCCACTCGAAAGGACCCAGCGATTACATCAAGTTGAGTATTATCGGTGGGACACAACTACAGTTTCAATATCAAGTCGGTTCCGGCCCGCTTGCTGTAACACGCGAGACTTCTTATAAACTAGCCGATGACAATTGGCATTCTGTTTCGGTGGAAAGAAATCGTAAATCCGCTCGGTTGGTGATCGATGGCGCATTGAAATCGGAAATCAGGGAACCTCCAGGTCCAGTGAGAGCTTTGCATCTTACTTCTGAATTGATGTTGGGAGCTACTACGGATTACCGAGATGGTTTCACTGGTTGCATACGTTCGTTTTTGATTAATGGCGTCCATGTTGATTTGAGATCCTATGCGCGACGTGGATTATATGGTATCTCCGAGGGTTGTGTTGGTAAATGTCAGAGTAATCCTTGTTTGAATAATGGTACTTGTCACGAGCGTTATGATGGGTATTGGTGTGACTGTCGTTGGACCGCATTCAAGGGTCCAATTTGCGCTGATGAAATCGGTGTTAATCTTAGGCAAAGTTCTTTGATCAAATACGACTTTATGGGTTCATGGAGATCAACTATTTCTGAAAATATCCGTGTTGGGTTTACTACTACTAATCCCAAAGGTTTCCTATTGGGTTTCTCTTCGAATATAACCGGAGAATACTTGACTATCATGATTTCCAACTCGGGTCATTTACGAATCGTGTTTGACTTTGGTTTTGAACGCCAAGAAGTTATCTATCCGAATAAACACTTTGGTCTTGGGCAATACCATGATCTACACTTGTCAAGAAAGAATGGTGGGGCGACTCTGGTGTTACAAGTGGATAACTATGAACCAGTCGAGTTCCACTTTAATATTAAAGCGTCTGCAGATGCGCAATTCAACAATATTCAATATATGTACATCGGAAAGAACGAATCAATGACAGAGGGTTTCATTGGGTGTGTTTCAAGAGTGGAATTTGATGATATTTATCCATTGAAGTTACTATTCCAACAGGAAGGACCTGGCAATGTTAATTCATTAGGAAGTAAGTTTTAAATCATCAAATTTTATGAATTAACTCTAAATTAATAAAAATTATTTACAGCTCCATTAACTGAAGACTTCTGTGGAGTGGAACCAATCACTCATCCTCCGAACATTGTCGAAACTCGTCCACCACCAATCGTTGACGAAGAAAAACTTAGGAAGGCCTACAATCAAACGGACTCTGCTATCTTGGGCAGTAAGTATATTAATATTTTATTATCATTTAAAATTAAAATATTTAATCATTTTTGTGTGTTTCTAGGTGTTTTAGCAATATTATTCTTAGCACTTGTAATTCTCGCTGTTCTGATTGGTCGTTACCTGCATCGACACAAGGGCGAGTATTTGACGCAAGAGGACGCTGGTGCTGACACAGCACTAGATCCGGACACTGCAGTTGTCCACGGAACAACCGGGCATCACGTGCAAAAGAAAAAGGAGTGGTTCATTTAAACCAAAAACAAGAAGAAAAAGAGAAGAGAAAACTCATGTAGGCCTCAATAGTACAACGTGTTTCATTATTTTTACTTTAATTGCGTAATGCAAGAAAAAATTGTTTAGTTAATTTAGCCGAGAACAACCGAAGGAGTATTAGTTGCATCTTAAACTTTATGTTTCCGTCCATACGTTTGTTTTGTACTAATTTATTTTTATTTGTTTTTGACAAGATTCTATTCGCGGCTTTATTTTACATTTTTATATGTTTCTTACATGCGATGTAGATGAAGAAGAAGGGAAAGATAGTTATAAGCTAGACATGTACATTCCGATCGTCGATCAATTAGGAAAAGATGAGAATGGATCTTCCACGACACGATATGCAAAAGTTTTTCACATTGTATTTTAATACTGCGAGCGTTTTTCGATGATTGTCCGGATAGAAACGCGACGTGCCTTTCTGTGGCATTCATTATCAACCCGTGTGATTTGTACAGACCCCGAGATCAATATTCATCTTTGAACACAATTTTCAAGAGTCTTTACCGATAATGAATATTACTAGGATACCGATTTAACGCAGTCGTTTAAAAATTTTTCAAATGCGGTGCAGTGGTGCAACCGGATGAATTGTTTGCATTTAATCTTTGCATTCTGTTTTTAGGATACCGATAATTCGACTAATTTTTCACATTGATTGAATAAATAAGAATAAAACTTTTATTAGAAAAATAATAAAAGTAAGCATTTTTAATGTTCTTGTTTAACGTTTAGGAGCTACACCCGGGTATTGTACCTTCGCACGTTAGTAACTAGAGGTCAGCCTACCTTCCCCACTTCTTTTTACGGGTTGACAGAGGGTGTAAAAGATCAGCGCGCATGCGCAGGTACCAAAGAGTTCAGTTGTGCTTAAGTCGTTGGTTTTTAGCTTCCTCTCTCCATTCCTATCAGATCTTTGGTTCTATTTAAGTTTCATATGGAAAATAAGTCTCAAATGATGCTTTTTTAAACGTATTGCAGTTTATGTTCTTTAAGTTAAGATTTGATGCAATATTTTCTTTAAATCCTTTATAAAAACAGAATTTATTCATAAATATTGCATCTACTTCTAAACTAGATGCAGAAAATAACATATTATACACAACTAATTAATATCCCATGTCTACCAATTCTATTAATCTATTTTCGATCAAATGGATCAGACCACACCTTCATATCTAAATCAAAAACATATCATAATTGATTATAATGAAAAATGTATTCATTTAATAGTTTAACTTACTTCCTGGTTGAATTTCACTTTGAATTACATTCCTCCTATTCTCTTTCTGTATTGCTTCTGTAAAATTACACCAGAAAATGATATATTTTAGGTTGTAAGGTAAAACTTACTATATTCTTCAATGTGCTGCATGGGATAGATGGCAATTGGATAGATAGTAATGCCAATCACTCCTACAATCGAAGTAATCAATGCCGTATACCGCCATCCTCGCCAATAACTCATTTTGTTTAATTATTTCTTATGTATATGGTTAATCAAAGACAGTTTGAATTTTTTTAAAGGTTAGAATTGTAGTCATGGAGTAGTTATACAGGATGTTTTAAAGAAAATGGCGATTGTTAAAGAAGATATAGATATAGAATTTGCTGAGGAACGTATCTACAAGGATTGTACGGTGATTTATTTATTCAATTTTGCCTTCATGCAACTTTGCAGCTGTTGTGTGTATGTAATTCTGTAATCATGAAAAGACGCCATGTTTTGCCCCTCTACTTTCTCCCAACGTTTGTTTACGACGAACGATTCCATTTATTCGAGGTTAAAGAATCAAAATTCCGTTTCTACGCTGTGCAAATTACCAATTGAAACATGGAAACAATATTGGAACAGCAGCGAAGATATCATGAAGAACGTGAGCGTTTAGTCGATGCCATGGTGAAGGAAATGCTCTTCAAAAAATCAACAGTAAGTTCACATTACCTAACCAAAGAAAAACATTAAAATTTTATCAAATTAAATCGCAAAAATGATCAAAAATTTGCTTTTATTTATAGTATCGTGAAGGTATTAACTCGGACCATCGATTAAAATATCTCCTGGACAAGTACATTGAAGGTACAGGGCGTTTAATCGATTTGTATGAAGATAAAGATGGTGTTCGAAAGGCTGAAGTTGCTGCACTTACTGGACCTAATGAATTTCAAGAGTTTTACAACAGGTTGAAGCAAATTAAAGATTTCTACAGGAAACATCCAAATGAGGTAATATACAATTAGATTCATAAGTATTTATGACAATATCACTATAAATTTATTAAATTTTTAGATCAGTGTTCCAATGTCAGTTGAATTTGATGAATTGACCAAGGCCAGAGAGAATCCAAGTGAAGAAATGGCCAGTAAGTAAAGTGTATACTTATATTGTTTCAAGTTAATATTGTTTATCTTGTTTTACAGATATGGTGGAATTTTCTGATGAAGAAGGCTATGGAAAGTTCCTTGATCTTCATGAGTGCTATGAAAAGTACATTAATTTGAAAGGCATTGAAGTAAGCATCATCATAATTAATTTTAGTACAATTATTTTATTATTTTTACATTTTTTTCAGAAACTGGATTACATTACTTACCTGGGAATGTTTGATCAACTGTATGACATTGCAAAAGAGCGCAAAACAGGCGAATATCGTCGATATTTACTCTCGTTGATTGAGTATCTCACTTGGTTTGTTCAAAGGATTAAACCTCTAATGGATATGGAAACCGAGTTGCGCAGGGAAGCAGATGTGGTGCTGGTACAATGGGAATCAGGATCAGTTCCTGGATGGCCGGTAAGTTAACTTCGTTTTTTTTTTTTTTAAACAAAATTTTTGATAAATTTTGATAAATTGATCATGTTTGATAATCAAAAATATATTTATAATTATAGAAAGAAACGGGTTCTGCTCTTGCTAATGTCGGTGCCCATCTAGAACTCTCCGCATTTTCATCCTGGGAGGAACTCGCCTCTTTAGGTCTTGACAGATTAAAATCCGCTTTGATGGCGCTGGGTTTAAAATGTGGTGGGACTTTAGAAGAACGCGCGCAAAGACTTTTTGCTACCAAAGGCATGACTTCTTTGGATCCATCATTGCTAGCAAAAAACAAAGCTGGCAGAGCATCGAAAGAAAAAGAACAACTACGCCATCGTGAGTTGGCGTGTATGGAAGCACAGGTTTACCGCTTAGCCGAGTTGGTTTCCGTTCAACGTGCGGCTACGAAAGAGAACGTACAACGTAAACAGGCGCGCACAGATGGGGAAAGAGACGATAGTGAAAACGAGGAGAGTGATGAGGAGAGTATTGAAGATGATTCCGATGAAGTGCCGTATAATCCGAAGAATTTACCGCTTGGATGGGACGGAAAGGTAAAGAATTTGCATCAAAATAACATGAATAATATATCATTCATATTTTTTAGCCTATTCCATATTGGTTGTACAAACTCCATGGTTTGAACATCAGTTACAACTGTGAAATTTGTGGTAATTATGTGTACAAAGGACCGAAAGCCTTTCAGCGACATTTTGCTGAGTGGAGACACGCGCATGGTATGAGGTGCTTAGGCATCCCGAATACAGCGCATTTTGCTAATGTCACACAAATTGAGGATGCGTTAGCACGTAAGTACATTGACTATAACCGAACATATTCTTGATAAACTAATTATTATTTTTATTTTTGTTTCAGTATGGGAGAAACTTAAGGTTCAGAAGCAGACGGAACGTTGGCAGCCGGAGACCGAAGAGGAATACGAAGATTCTCAAGGAAATGTTGTCAATCGGAAGACTTACGAGGATCTCAAGCGACAGGGACTGCTTTAATTTAGAAACATTTTATTGCTTAATTTTATAAATACTTACTATTATAACAATTGTCTTGTCTTGTCATGTCACAAAAGAGATGGAAACAGCATTTTTCGGTTATAATTATATGTATTTTGTTTATACCTAATCTTTACATTTGCATTCAGTGGGAATCAGGATTAGAACATGAGCATAATATAATTAAGCTTAAAAAAGTGTGTATTAGGTGCATATTGGGTTGCTTATTAATTATAGAAAAAATTGATTTTATTTGAACATGTTTTAAATTAATATTTAATGTTTAAATACAATGATATTATTTTATGAATAAATTTTGTACCTTTAGAAAGTATAACTCAAGGCTTTTTTAGATGATGTATGTATATTCAACCCTCTACCCAGTCCAAAAGTACCCTAAAATGCCATTTAAAATACTCAATTTTATAAAAATTTGTAAGCATAATGTGAAAAACGCCCTGTATCTCCTGAAGTAATTAATTTTTTTGTAGTTTCTCACCGCCATGTCAGAGCTCGAAAGTCCCTCTACATGACACATGCCTTTTAAACCGTCTAGCCCTTTCTCAAGTACCTTTTAATGGTCTTTAAAAATTAACATTTTTACAAACAAAATGAAAACATAGTGTGGAAAACACCCTGTATCTCCTGAACTTATTGAATTTATGAAAGTTTCTTACTGCTATGTCAAAATTGGAGAGTTCTGCTACGCAATGAATAACTTTTCAAGTTCCTAGCTCTTTTGGAAGTGCGCTAAAATGCCCTTTAAAAATCACCATTTTTCAAAAAAATATGAAAACATAATGTGGAAAACACCCTGTATCAAGAGAACTAACTGACTTTCCTGTACTATCTCAGCGTCATATTAAAGCTCAATAGACCCTCTTTACGATGCATTTTATTTCAGCAATCTAGGCCCTTTGTAAGTGCCCTGAAATGCCCTTTAAAAGTAGGCAATTCTATAAAAAATTGAAAACATGGTGTGGAAAACACTCTGTATCTCGTAAACCAACTGATTTTTTGAAGTTTCTCAACGTCATGTTAAAGTTTGAGAGTCCCTCTACACAATGTATACCTATTTAACTTTATTAATTCTGGGAAAGTGTCTTAAAATACCCTTAGAATATTACTGTTTTGTGCAATAAATTTCATTTTTGGTCGAATAACAGAGTCGAACTTTATTGTTAAAATTCTTTTTGGCCGAAGAACAGGGTCAAACTTATTTTCTTAAAAAAAATTTTTGGTCGAACAACAGGGTCGCACTTTTTTGTTAAAATATTTTTGGCCGAAGAACAGGGTCAAACTTATTTACCTAAAATTTTTTTGCTCGAACAACAGGGTCGGACTTTTTTCTTTAATTTTTCCCTTGAAAGCGGCGACATTAAATTGCGATTATCTCGAGAACAAAAAGGGCTACGGAAAAAAATACTTCATATTCTTGATCCTTATGGAATTCTCTGCAAGATCGCACTCTTCTCAAAAAAGACCAAAAATGCATAAAAAAATTTACCGAAAAGATTTTGTTATAAATAAGGCAAAAGATTTCTCTTTTTTATGTTGTAAATTAAAGATTGGAATTTTTGAATTCTGATTTCGGATTCTGATAGACATTTTAATTCTATATCAATTATTCTAGTGACATTTTTTGCTAACGTTAACCGTTTAGGCCCTATTAGCAATTTGAATGAAACATGTGCATGCCGTCGGAATAGTTAAATTTAAAAGATTAAATGGTAATTATCTCGACAACTAAAAGGACTAGAAAAAAAAAGAACTACATATTCTTGATCCTTAAAAAATTCCCTACAAGATGGTACCCTAATTAAAAAATTATGAAAATGGCACAAAAAATTTTTAAAGAAAAGATTTCGTCATAAAAAAGGCAAAGATTTCTCTTTTTTATGTTGAAAATTAAATATTGGAATTTTTAAATTCTGATTTCGGATTCTGATAGACAATTTAATTCTATATCAATTATTCGAGTAAAATATTTTGCTAGCATTAACGGTTTAGGCCCTATTTGCAATTTTATTGAAAAAATTGAATATGTACCGAAACAAATTAAAATAATACATATAATAATCTGGCGGGAACTGTCTGTCCACTTTCTGCGTTCCTAATACTATATAGACTGATGAACAGCAACATTTCAGCAAATTTCTCGTCAAATTATGTCGAGAAAGCCATTGAAATTGGTAACAAAATTCTTTTGAATATTAGGATCGCAGAAAGTGCAGTAGGCTGAATCTCCAGCAATCTTGAATAGCGGCATAGTTTAGTTACTCGTGGATAGATGACACTAGTGATACCATTTTTAAATTAATATTGATACAAAATAAAATTGATTTTGAACTATTTTCCATATCTAGCAGCGACATTTTCATTAAAGTTTTAGGGATTTATGAATTAATTAAAGGAGTAACGATGTTGCGAGCTATGTTCCCCGTTTGGAACAAATAAAACAATAAAAATTTATAGTTAAAAATATAAAACAACAATTTTATTAAAACATGAAGAATATACACAGCCAACTCATTTTCTAAATATGTACAGCATTTTTAACAATATGAAAACAAGGTAATAATATGCAATTACATAATGCTCTTTTTATAACTTTTAACAAAATAAACAAAAATGATATCAATAACAGCATCCAAATGTTGTAAATTCATTCAATCGTATTTGGAATCATCATCAACACCGGCAATCCAATCTTCAATTTCTTGGACACTATAAACCAGAATAAATAACAGAATAGTAAAGAATAAAATATTATAAATTGCCAAAATATAACATACGTTCTTGAAACTTTTGTCCAGTTGACACATCCGTCTTCAGTAATCAAAACGTCCACCAGTACCACGGAACTTCTCCAGTTGATCCTTATTGATAAACTTGGCCATCTCAGGATAAGCCAATGCTTCATGCAACAACTGAAAAATATTTATATAAATGAAATATACATATACATAAATTAAATTAATTTTTCTTACAGGATCCATAAAGACTCCCATTTAGGGCACCGTGCAAAGGTAGCGGTAGAAGTGACTCCCATTCAAGGCACCGTACAAAGGTAGCAGTAGAAGGGTACGGCGAATACTGAAAAAAAGAAACATAAGTTAAAACAACTTGCTTAAGTATGCATACAGAATACGATCAAGAATTACCATTTTTGTTCAATAATGTACATTATTATAGTTTATTTAGTATAGTTTAGTTTAGTTTAGTATAGTTTAGATACTAGAATGTGCTGCATGCGGCAAAAGGCATCAGCTTGAGAGGATGACAACCAAGGTAAATCCTCTAATTTTTCTCGACATTCTCAAAAACTAAACGTGATACAGAGGAATTGATAGAAAATTTTAAAACTTCGGAAAATTAAAAAAAAAAAATTAACTACTTAAAATGAAAATCCAGAAAATAAAATTTTAAGTTAGAAGAAAAAATGGGCTTGATAATCTATCAGATAAAAATATAAAATAATTATATTTCCTGCAGTAAAAGGTCGAAAAACGCGACTAAAAGTGCTAAAAAGTGACATTTTTCAATTTTTGCCCATTTTATTCAATCGCGAATATCTCGTAAACTAAAAGAGATAAATAGGATCTGATCGCAGCGTCTTAATCTACGGACTATTCTCAATCAGATAGGATAGTTAAAACGGAAATCTGAGAGATGAAATTTTCATTCTTAAGAAAAAATTGCCAAGGGGGGGTGCTTGATACTTTTTTTTGACAATTTTTGAAAATTCATATCTCTTTAACTAAAAGCCACAGCAATCAATAAATTGCTGATTATGATAGATTGGAAAATTCTCTATCAGATAAAAATAGAAAATAATTATATTTCCTATAGTAACAGGTCGAAAAACGCGACTAAAAGTGCTAAAAAGTGACATTTATCAATTTTTGCCCATTTTATTCAATCGCGAATATCTCGTAAACTAAAAGAGATAAATAGGATCTGATCGCAGCGTCTTAATCTACGGACTATTCTCTATCAGATAGAACAGTTAAAACGGAAATCTGAGAGATGAAATTTTCATTCTTAAGAAAAAATTGCCAAGGGGGGGTGCTTGATACTTTTTTTTGACAATTTTTGAAAATTCATATCTCTTTAACTAAAAGCCACAGCAATCAATAAATTGCTGATTATGATAGATTGGAAAATTCTCTATCAGATAAAAATAGAAAATAATTATATTTCCTATAGTAACAGGTCGAAAAACGCGACTAAAAGTGCTAAAAAGTGACATTTATCAATTTTTGCCCATTTTATTCAATCGCGAATATCTCGTAAACTAAAAGAGATAAATAGGATCTGATCGCAGCGTCTTAATCTACGGACTATTCTCTATCAGATAGAACAGTTAAAACGGAAATCTGAGAGATGAAATTTTCATTCTTAAGAAAAAATTGCCAAGGGGGTGCTTGATACTTTTTTTTGACAATTTTTGAAAATTCATATCTCTTTAACTAAAAGCCACAGCAATCAATAAATTGCTGATTATGATAGATTGGAAAATTCTCTATCAGATAAAAATAGAAAATAATTATATTTCCTATAGTAACAGGTCGAAAAACGCGACTAAAAGTGCTAAAAAGTGACATTTATCAATTTTTGCCCATTTTATTCAATCGCGAATATCTCGTAAACTAAAAGAGATAAATAGGATCTGATCGCAGCGTCTTAATCTACGGACTATTCTCTATCAGATAGAACAGTTAAAACGGAAATCTGAGAGATGAAATTTTCATTCTTAAGAAAAAATTGCCAAGGGGGGGTGCTTGATACTTTTTTTTGACAATTTTTGAAAATTCATATCTCTTTAACTAAAAGCCACAGCAATCAATAAATTGCTGATTATGATAGATTGGAAAATTCTGTATCAGATAAAAATATAAAATAATTATATTTCCTATAGTAACAGGTCGAAAAACGCGACTAAAAGTGCTAAAAAGTGACATTTTTCAATTTTTGCCCATTTTATTCAATCGCGAATATCTCGTAAACTAAAACAGATAGAAAGGAACGCATTGCAGTGTCTTAATCTACGGACAATTCTGTATCAAATAAGGTGGTTAAATTGGAAATCTAAGAAATTAAATTTTAATTCATAAGAAGAAATGCGTAAATGAGGGTCAGCTATACATTCATTCACGTAAGGTGCCCTGAACCCGAGTCACTTCTACCGCTACCCTCATACGGTGCTGGGAACACAAGTCACTTCTATCGACACCCTGCTACGGTAAACCAAATGAGACTCAACTATACAATTGCGATTAATTGCAATATAACTAAATAAACAAGGAAAAATCAACGATCTTGACATATTCGAGTTTATAAACGATAAAAGTGCATATCTTTTAAACTAAAAGCTATAGCGACCAACGGATTGAAAGTTATGAAAGATTTGAAAATTCTGCATTAGATAAGTGTTTAAAATAATTTAATTTCGTGGGATAAAAGGACCAAAAACTTGACTAAAAATGCAAAGTTTCTTTTATGCCCTTTTTTGAATTGCGAATATCTATCTCCTAATTATGTCCCACCATGCCCGTCGTCTAATTTAGTACAGGTAGCAAATGTAAATTTGAAAAATATAATTGAATTATAAACTTACCCGTGTACAGCTTATCGGACTGCCAGGCACAACGAGTGCTGTAACTAAACGAAAACATACATTAAAACAACACTATTTCATACAATTGAATTATGTTATAATTAACAATCAACACAAAATAAACAATCTGCGCTGTTTAGTTAAAAAAATACTTACACGAGCCTGATGGATTTTTCTTAATGATGAGAATCAACATGGGCCGGTATATATCCGATTAATATAGTAACCGACACCACACACAACGCCGAATGAAGAATGTTATCAAATCCACTATCACGTGACTGTAATATACCTAACAAACGCGATCAAAAACCGGCATTTCCGAACATTAAACAAATTACTATAGTCGCAAAGTACTAATAAATAGTCGATTGATCATCGAGTATAACACAAATTTAGAATATTGAAGTCCGAATAAACGATATAAGATATAAGTCTCTCAAAACACAACTAGATTAAACAGCGACCGACACGAAACTGGCTGCAATCCACCAATAGTGCATGCCGAAATTGCGTAAACAACGACGGGACAGTATATGATAAGAAAGCAAGAGAGCGCAAAGACGGCGCGTCGACATCACGCGACCTTGTCCGCGAATTTGCAATTGATACATTACCTGTGATCTAAACTAAACTAGACTTCGCTGCATGCAGCAAGTTGATGCGGCGCTAGGAGACAGCGCGCGGGACACATGCGAAGAAAAAGTTGTTTACACCGAATCGCAGATAACAGCATTGTATACAAAACTATTCTCGTGGCGACGTTTGTCGATAAATATCAAAATAAGCCGTATAATTCGATTTTATAATTTTTATTGCATCCTAGTGCTATCTATGAATGCGACAGATACAAGTCCCACAATTTAGACTATTATAATCAATAATTATTGTTTCCACGTGTTTCTACTGTTGTATGCAGTTCATATTATCAATTAACATGTAGAGCGTCTCATAAACTATAACATGGCCTTTAGAAACTCACAAAATGTGTATTAGTTCACGAGATTCAGGCTGTTATCTAAGCGAAATTTTTGAAATGTAAAAATATTATCGATTTGTAAGCCATTTTAAGAATACTTGTAGAAGGTTAAAAGGGTCGGGAAGATGCGTAAGTTATTAAAGAACTCTTATCATATGAGCACAAGATGTTGTGATTTATTCCATTGGTGCAAGATAAATCAGGTCCCTGTCCCCAGCTCCTCATTATTTCAGAATTCAGCAAGCTGTCCCAAATCATAAAGGATTATTTACAAACATCGACTAAAACACATAAAAGATGTTTAAAATTTTCAGAAACTTTCTAGAAAATAGGTTTTAATTTTAATCAGTCGATTTTACATAAATACAATACTTAATTATAGCTTTGACTACTTTTATGATACAAAGTAACAGTAACATTGCATATTAATATAGGCAGGAGCAACCAGAGAGGCAGTAAAACATGTATTAAGCTTAGATCCCAACTGGTATACTCCAGCTTCAAACATATCAATATCTGAGCTGCTACTTTTAACAGCACAATAAAAATAACATAGTTATCTTTCTTGCTAATAATTCGCTTGAATGATTCATGCTTGCAATGCATTGCAAAGGTGGCAATTGCATCAATGAACAGCACCAAGTCATAGAGCCATACTGGGAAGAAGATAAAAAACCAGTTCCAGTTAATTCTTCCTTCAAGCCTCAGCAGGAGGAACACCACAAATATCAGGAGAATAAACCATGTGAATAATGCTCTGTGCATTACCATTATTTACCTAAAACGTAAAAAATATGATAAATAAGAGGAATGTTAAGTTTAAGACGTTTAGAATTTGTTATTATACATACTGTCTTATCGCTTTTGAGCACGACCCAAGATGTAAACAACAAACATTAATCAGCTGCTACTGAAAGTATAAGCAGGAGGAGAGTAAAAACAGTTGGTAACCTCATTTTAGTTTTTCGAATATTTTGAACTCGAATTAGTTGTTTAAATGGTAAATTTTGAGATTGGTACATGTATTTTAATAGTTTTTGTATAACCAATATCTATTTTTGTTCAGTTTAATCTTGATTACCTACATTTAAATTTGATAAAACTTGTGAGACGTCGAACAGTTTGTTACATAAACGTCACTGGATGTCACTGTTAGTTTTAATTCTGATCATGAATTGATTTATTCATTTAATGCGGTATTTCAATCAAGAAGACTAAATTTTATAGTAAAACAACCTTCAATTGGCATCTACACACCTAATTTTATTCTCATTCAAAGCTTTTATTGTTTAAATATTAACGAAAAGCAGTTTATTTTGAGTATTGAGTTGCCTATATCGAGAGCGTGAGTCTCTCGTGTGGCAGCTCGTGCACCTTGCCGTCTCTGCAGGCCGTCAGACACAGTGCGAAACACGATCGTGACAGGGATGATGTCACATTTTACTATCTGGAAAATTTCTAAATCAGTCTAACCTCCGGCCGCCCAACGAAAGCGACTCGCAGACTCGCATCTTCGGCAAGTGTTGATGGCAATTGCGAGCAGAGAACGCATCGCGTAGACACGGACACATCAATTTACACAACAGCGATCAGCAGCAGGGCGATTCAAAATGCAAGTGTTCCTACGATCGCCGAATTTGCGCAACGGACATTACGGCATCATAAAAAAATGTAAGTTGTGCATGATGTACGCGAGTTTATTTTGCATGACAGCCGATCGTTTGGGTAGAATCGCGCAAACATTGCGAGTACATTTCACGGCTTTGCATAACCTAGCATTCCGCCGTTCCTGCAGACACGGCAGGCCGCAGGAAGTGATGTTATGTTGTGCAAACACAAAGCATTGTTATTGTTACATGTTTTATGTTTGTGCTGATAAATTTACATGAAATATTCTAATTTTATTGTTTAAATGCTTTAGGTTCGCTGCATTGCAATGTAATCACCTGCCCATCACTAAACAAGTCATTTGAGTTCAACAAAGAGCACCCGGCTTCAAAATCCAACACTTTGTCGCGACCCCAGCCGCTACTTTCGTTCCTTCTGCGGCCTAACACGTTACCATTGTCGGTGCGCCACATATCCACCACACCGATTCGATATGATGAGCCTTTGAAGCCTTCCTCGAAAGTGGAAGCAACAGTAAAGGCAATCAAAGAAAAAGCAGAAAAGGAAGCCGCTGCTGTGCCAGCTGAAACACCTCCCAAAGCTGTGGTGAAAAAGAGTATAAAAGATAAAGTCCTGGACGAACTGCGTCACTACTATCATGGATTCAGGCTGCTTTTCATTGACATACGAATTTCGTACGGATTACTATGGCGAGTACTCAATGGTAACACATTAACACGTCGAGAATATCGCTTGTTAATGCGCACTGTGGGTGACATGTTCCGCCTGGTACCATTTTCTGTTTTCCTCATCGTACCCTTCATGGAATTCTTGCTGCCGTTTTTTATAAAATTCTTCCCTGGTATGCTGCCGTCCACTTTTCAGTCTGCGACCGAGAAAGAGGATAAACTCAAGCAGAGCTTGAAAGTTAAGCTGGAAATGGCGAAATTCTTACAGCAGACTTTGGATGACATGTCCGTGCAGCACAAGGACCATAATTCACAACAAGCGAAGGAATTCTCTGAGTGGTTTAACAAGGTGCGCACCTCTGGAGAACAAGTATCCAACGAGGAAATCCTCAAATTCTCTAAACTGTTTCAAGATGAAATCACGCTTGATTCACTATCAAGAAATCAACTGGTTGCACTCTGTCGTGTGCTTGAGGTGCAGACTCTCGGCACTAATAATTTACTTCGTTTTCAATTGAGGATGAAGTTAAGATCATTAGCAGCCGATGATAAAATGATCCAGAAAGAAGGCGTGGATTCTCTCAGCTTGTGGGAGGTGCAACAGGCGTGTCGTGCACGTGGCATGCGTGCATTTGGCGTCACAGAAGCGAGGTTACGTGCGCAGCTTCAGGATTGGTTGGATTTGAGCTTAAATGAAAAAGTACCGCCATCTTTACTGCTACTTTCACGCGCATTGATGTTACCAGAGACAATTCCTACCAGTGATAAACTTAAAGCGACTATCAGCGCACTACCGGATACTATTGTAACACAGACCAAACATGCGATTGGCGAGAGTGAAGGTAAAATCGACAACAAGGTACAACTGGAGGTTATTATGGAAGAGGCTAGGAAAATTAAGGAAGAACGCAAGGAATTGGGTGAGGATATTCTCGCGATTGCCGAGAGACAAATCCGTGAGAAAGAATTACTCAAGGATACTGCACCCATATTGACAGATGAGTCAGGCGTGAAAGATCCGCATGTAGCACAACACTCAACTGTCAAGGAAAGTCACACACCTCCTCCGAAGTTAGAAGTGTTGCATACCAAGGATGTCGAGGCTTTGGAAGACGCGCTGGACGCGATTTCCAAGGAGAAGAAACCGATTGTTGAAAAGGCTGAGATTGAAGAGTTGAAGGAGCAAATGGCTGACTACACTGAAGATGTACAGGATTTGAAAAAGGCTGCGTTACCTGATATCAAAGAAACAAAAGCAGCGAAGAGGTTGTTTAATCGCGTGACGAAGATGATCAGCGGTATGGATGAAGTGTTGCGTGAGTTGGAGAAGAAAGAAGCAAAACTTAAGAAGGATATGGACGTGGCTAAAGGTGCCAAGGAGGAGGAGCTGCTGAAAATCGACGAGATCATGGCGGCCATTAAGAAGATTCAAAAAGTACCTGATGATTCGCGATTGAAGCAAATCGAGACGGTTTTGAGTAAAATTGACGTCGATCGGGATGGATCCATTAAAGTTGAGGATGTACTTAAGGTATAGTTAATATTATTACTCAAAAAGCAGAAAATAAAACATTTTTTGTTGTAGGTGATTGAAATTATCGGTAAAGAGAATGTACAGCTAAGTTCCAAGCAGGTAGATGAACTTTTGGAGCTGCTCGACAAGGAGGAAATCCTTGAAGTCGAAGACAAGATTGAGAAAGCTCTCAAACGCGAAATCGAAGCGAAAATGAGCGCTGTCGCGCATCCTGACGCTGGTGTGGTACCACCCCCATCGGTGGCTACACCCACAACAACCACACCTTCTGATTCCACCACTAGCACTACCACAGCAGCTCCCAAGGCTGACGAAACGAAAAAGACGAGTACAGCGGATCCGAACGACGCCTCTAAAAAAGGGTATGACTCTGCCGTGGGCACGGCAACAAGTGCAACATCAAACAACGACAAATTCAAAGTGCCGACCGCGTCGAGCATGCCCATCGTGCCGCCGGCGGCCGTACCCGCGAAGCAGGCAACACCCGAACCGAAAAAGCTCTAAAAAATATATATATCATCCACCTCCAGCTATCTCTTGCTAGGTAATTTAATTTAATTCCGAATCCTGTATAAAGTTGCCTCCTGATCACGCTCTGTCATTGATTTTTGACTCTATTTGATTAAAAAAAAAACGCATGCAATGTATTTTTCTAGTATATTTTCGTATATCGATTTGCACCGCAGGGTTGATTTGACACTTCATGCGTACCTTGGTTGCAATTTTGTATTGATCACGATTGAATGATGGTGAAACTTGTTGTCTGCTGCTGGCACCGATCAATCGATTATTATTATCGTTGTTGTTACTGTTGATAATTTTATTTATATTTTTCTAGAAGAGATCCACGATGATAACGATTGACGCGTGTGCCGACGTTTGTAATTGTTATTGAGTACACGAATGTGATGGCTGCGCCAAACAAACAAAAACTAAGTGCGAGACTAATCAGCGCACGCGCTGCACACACATACACTAAGAAACTTTACAATAAAATAAACAGATGTATATTTATAATGTGTTGGGGGTTGCAGAATAATGTGTTGGTTCGATTACGAATGGTTCTATTTTGTAATATTGATTTTTGTCTGTGAGATGGGTCTCTGGTGGTGTAAACCAATTTTTGTAAATAATTTAGTAGCGAAAATAATTGAATATGGAACAACATGTGTTGCATACATTACTTTTTAGTTGTTTTTATATCCTTATTGCATAATATACATGAAGTACAAACTTTGATTTACAGTTTTGTAACTCTGTGCTGTGGACGCCTGCGGAATATTTGTTAAAATATTTATTAATCTCTTCGTTCATAACAGTTGGACATAAATAATCTTACATGCTGAACGTTATTAATTACTCTTAGGCCATAAATATTTGACTTTGACTTGGAAACATTACATTTTGACACAGATTTAATGCAGAATGCACATTGATGGAGCATGGGGGCAGCACTGTAACATTAATCAAAATGGCGGCGCAGATTACGAATGACATAACACTTAGATTATAATAGATTCGTACATGCAACTTGTTTGCAAGCTCGATGTTTGATTTAAGTCATTTAAGTGTACTCAATACTTTCTGTATCAAGTTTGATTTTGATTACGTTACGTATTTAGTATGCGTTGAAGAATCAATTCAGATCTTCAGTCATCTTGCTCTCTTCGACCTCATCACATTCTTCTATGTCAGACTTTCCTTGGAACATTGCTCTGGCAACGATTCGCCCCATGTGCTATGTATTTGCGGAGTTTGAATTCACTGTGAGGTCAACATTCACCTCCTCCATGTATTTCATCAGATCTGTACTGGAATACTCCATCTCTTCACAGTCCTGTAGACTTGAATTGCTGATATCATCGTTAACGAGCATTTTACCATTGGCTTCCTCGTCGTTATCGATTCCGCTATCTTTCTCCTTGCGTTGCTTTCGTTTGGTTTTGATCTTCTGCTTACATTTGCGGTCTGGTTTACTCTCGTCGTTGTGGTTGAAGATCTTAAAGAACTTCACGAAGTATTTATTATTGTCGGTTTCTTTGAGAGTCTTCAGGTGTGGTTGGTAACTTTTATCGGATGGTAAGTTGTTGCTGATTGTTGTCACGATTGTGGTATTACTGGATTGGGAGTGGACTCTTGTACGGTATCCTTCTGTGGATGTGGTTTTGTTTTGTTGTAAAAGAGGTTTGTTTGTTGAAGAGTTTATGTTTGTTTCGGCGTGGTTGTGTCCGTGTCCATTCGTGTGTTGATGGTGGACGGTGTGACCAGTGTGGCCGTTGTGTTTTAGACTGGAGCGTTTTGTTCCGTGTGGATTGTTGGCGTTTTGGAGGTCCATCATGTAGAGTTGTTCTTCTCCAGCGCAGTTTTGAACGCCGTCGGAGACTGAGCGTTGATAGTTGCGCATTGATGGTGGACATCTTGATAAGACTGAGTATGTTCGTTGGCGTTTTTCTGGGGTGCCACGATTGCATAGGCCATAAAATGTATTCTGAAAAAAGGGAAATAATTAAAGTTTAATGGATTTTTATATTGTTTCACAAAAAAAATTAATTTTAATATAAGTTATAATGTTTGGTATGAAAAACAGCTCATGTCTATGGTTAAAATGTAAAATGTAAAATTATGTTTTAAAATACCACATACGCACCATAAAATTGTCTTTTTTGATAATTATTGATAAACAATTAATTTGTTAATTTTTTTGAAACAAGTTATGAATTATGACAAAAATGGCGGATGCGCCTGCTATTTTAAAGAGTAGTATAATAATAAAAACAAACTACCCCATTGTGTAGGGGGCTCTTAATTATCAAATTTAAACATTTTTTCACTTAATAACACAAAGGGTTTTTTTCTGTAGATGTCAATAAGTAAAACGTGTATTCACATGGAGACTTAAGAATCAATTATCTCAGGAACTAGAAGAGATAAACAAAAACCGAAATCACGGTAATGCTTAGTATGAAATTCTAGACCAGATAACGTTTAAAAACTTTTAAAAATAGCATATGCCTAAAAATTTTTCCAACGCAATTTTCTCGGAAAGTAATAAAGCTAAAAAAAAACTTTCTTCATTTTGTTCATGTCGTGATAAGGATCTACAAAATGGCAGATTTAGTTTTCCCATTTTCCAAAGTTGACCAAAGACCACTCAAAAAGAGTCAAGAGGTTACACTTGACTCTTTTTGGGCTGCAAAATATTTTTTTACGCTAGAAGAAAATTGAAAACGCTAATCGATTGAGTTTTCCAAGGGGATGAAAGATGTGAAGTCAGTTTTCCGATAACATCAATATTTCGGAAAATGGGTGGTAAATTCAAAACTGATTAAATAAAACTACCTCTCCAATTTTCCCCAAACTCTCCAAACTGATGAAAAACAATACCAGGAATCCATTAATCCAAGTTTGGTTGCGCTATCTTAATTAGTTTTTAAGTTATTGGTAATTTTTAATTATTACATAAGTGTTGATAACTGTAAATTTTAACATGTTATATGATGTGAAATTTAATTCTACGTACGAATATGGAAACCGTTTTTCTTTTTCTTTAATGATTTTCAAGATAAATAAGAAAAACTGGTTTATTCGTTTTCTCTATCAGATCCTAGGCAAAAAATAAAAATTGGAAATTTGACTTTTTTGTTACTGAATATTGAAGAACATGTAATTCTACATATTTTATCTTAATAAAATTATGTTCTAAAATGAAGTGCTTTGATAATAATCACCCTAACAAAGTCATGTTTTGTTGCTATTCAAATTGTATTATTTTCTTTATTAAAATTGCAAATAGGGCCTAAACGATAATTTTTAGCAAAAAAAGTTACTAAAGTAATCGATGCAAAAAAATTTATGCATTTTTTGTCGTTTTTCAGGGAATTTTTTAAGGATTAAGAATATGTGGTCCTTTTTTCCGTAGCCCTTTTAGTTCTCAAGATAATCGCAATTTAATCTCGCCGGTTTCACGGGAAAATTTTAAGAAAAAAGTTCGACCCTGTTGTTCGACCGAAATTTTTTTTAGGAAAATTAGTTCGACCCTGTTCTTCGGCCGAAAAAAATTTTACGAAAAAAGTTTGACCCTGTTGTTCGACCGAAAAATTTGTTTGGAAAATTAGTTCGATCCTGTTATTCGACCAAAACATGAAATTTATTGGTCAAAAATAGCAATATTTAAAGGGCATTTTAAGACACTTTCACAGGGTTACACAGAGTTAAAAAGGTATGCATATTGTAGAGGGTTTCTTAAACTTTAACATGACGTTGAAAAACTTTAAGAAAATCGTTTAGTTCACGAGATACAGGGCGTTTTCCACAGCATGTTTTCAAATTTTCACAAACTTGCCAACTTTTGAAGGCCATTTTAGGACACTTTTAAAAGTCCTAGATTGCTAAAATAAAATTCTTCGTAAAGAGAGTATGTTGAACTCTAGTATGAGGCTGAAAACCTTTAGGAAAGTCAATTAATTCAGAAGATACAGGGTGTTTTCCACACTTTTAAGCCATTTAATTTTTTTTGAAAAATGCTAAATTTTAAAGGGCATTTTAGCGCACTTCCAAAAGGGCTAGGGAGTTAAAAAAGTATTCATCGCGTAGCGGAACCTTCTAGCTCTGACATAGAGGTGAGAAACTTAGATAAAATCAATTAGTTTACGAGATACAGGGTGTTTTGTACACAATGTTTTTAAATTGATTGAAAAATGCTTATTTTTAAAGGGCAATTTAGCGCACTTTTAAAAGGGCTAGGAACTTGAAAAAGCATTCATCGCGTAGTGAAACACTCCAGCTCTGATATAGCAGTGAGAAACTTTGATAAAGTCAATTAGTGTACAAGAAATGGGGTGTTTTCCACACTATGTTTTTATTTTTTTGGAAAAAATGCTAATTTAGGGCATTTAAAAGTACCTACTTGTGGAAGGGATTGAAGGTTTGAAAAGCATTTATTGATTACTAGACTTCATGCATTACAATTTCCGTACATTTTCCTGTTTTCCTCTACTCAAAGGCGCATGAAGTGCTCTAAAATGCCCATTAAAACGGTTATTATTTTCATTATTGTTCATTTTATAGTCGAAACACAGGTTTGAAAGTAATTTTAAATTTTAATTTGACCGTAAAACGTTGATATATTTATTTAATTTTCAAACTAATTTTAGTAGTGAAGTAAATTGCATTATTAATGAAGAGCACAGTCAAAATAGACAGTTTCAGTACGAAGCGAGTGCCGAATTGTATTCAGAATTCATGTTGTTCATTTATATATCACTTGTTTTAGTTTTTTTGTTAGTGGTAGTGAGCCTACATTGAGATAAAGAGTAATGCCAGTTTGTGTACATGTAAAGTCAACCAAAGATAAATATAACTGTACAATTTCATAATATTCTATTGTTACGTGATTATGAACTGCAATTTTTAATTTAAAGTTACAGTTTTTGACTCGAGGGCATCGTTAAAAATAGAGTTTTGTAATTTATTTAATTTAAGTTGTAATATATTCTAATAATCACGTAAATATAAATTTTTTAAATTGTAAACGTGCATTGCTTATTCAAAGTCAAGGATAAATACAAGTTAACAATATATTTCTATAATTTGATAAGAGATGGCGCAAGAATGCACTTATCTGCATTAAATTTCGTTCAACACGCAGATTGCACCTGCAATTTATGTTGATATACCTATATTTAAGTAAACAAACATGCATTGAAGTAATTAATACCGATGCTTTATTTCAGATTCTAATTTCCTACTTTTAAAATTGTTTAATTTGAATTAGAAACTAAGTATAAATTACATTTCGATTTTCCACTTTATTTCATTAATTTGCAACTTTTTAAAAGGTTATTTACAGTTTATACATTCCAACTATCTGAAAATGCAATTCAAACTCAACGTGCACGTAATTCGTTAAAAACCCAGCGCAGCTTTATTGCATTTTTAAAACAACATAAAATATACGAAACTACCTCACGTTCAATCCCAAAACGCAAACATTATAAAAACCAAAATGTAACAAACACCCACCAAAAAATGTAGGTTTACTCTGAATATTGATGTTTTAATTCACATTCATTATTTTAATTAAATTAAATAAATTAAAATAAATTAAAATTAAAACAATTCAACAAAGTGTAACTCTTAAAAAAAAAATTCAAACGTGCGCAATCAACTATAAAAATGTCTGTGAATTCGTTGAAACAAACAAAGCTTACATTCCGATCCCGTTGAATGGTTGAATATCGACAGCTAAAAATTCAAAATAAACCGTGAATGTTATAAGCAATGGAATCCCATCGACGCCTTCAATCATTCAACGATTTGCATGCAAATCGATTGGATCACCACAATCATGTGACTAGATCTCGATATATTCAGATTCCAGCTGAAGGGAGATGATGAAACGTGACGAAAGTGATGTCAAGTCAATATTTTAATCTTTGTTTTTTAAAAACTGCAGAGTAGAATTTTTATAGTGACTGTCAGTATAGTTTAGTCAGATGATTAATAGGATTAATACAAGAGCAAACGCGGATGCGGGCGTAATGTAAACCAAACAGATTGTGAACGAGACGCGTCTGTGGCCTGAAATTCGCGATAACAACGCATTCATGCTTGTGACTGCTGCCACCATCAAAAGGGAAAACAATTCATATCTAAAAAAAATTTTTTAAATTTTTGTTGAATTTTTATCTCAATAAATCTAAATTTCCGAATATTTATTATTTCATTGTTAACTTTGGTTGTTTCCCGATGTGCAGTGCGGGATTCTAAAGTTAAAACCGTTTTGCGGGATTTGAAAGGAGTTCTGTGCATCCGTACTCGAATCCTCGAATCACTCACGCTCTATTTCCGGCCACTGCAGGGCGGTTTTTGCGTCGCCGTCGTCGCCATTCAGAAAACACGCTCGAACGCTTGTAACGCAGGCGAGCTTAGCGATTATTTGCGTGCCGGATTGTTTTCCGGCTATATTTTATCCTCCGGCAACATGTGTGCAATGTGCATATACTTCATAAGAGCCAACGGCGGAAGAATGCAATAACTATGCTAAGCATTTTTCAATTTTGCAATTTTCTCCTTGAAGAAAAATCCAAAATAAAAATAAAACTAAAACATTTTTACTTCAAAAATGTGTAAATAATGTTTAAAAGTAGTTAAAATGTTAATTTTAGTCCAAGAAAAAGTAAATTCCAATCAAAGTGTGTCGTAGCTAAATTTAGAACTAAATTAACTTCTTTTTTCATTCCAGAGTTTTTTTTCGTGAAGAAAAAAAGCAAACAATGTTATTTCAATTATCTGCCTTCTACCTTGGCGTGTCTGAATAAATAAGAATATATTTCTTAATCCCGTATAAGATTTTTGACCATAAAAAGTTGCGGCAAGTTTTTTTATTGCCATAAAAAAGTTTTAAGCTGTTTTTAAAGCTTGATGTGCGGTGGAAACTCATGGAAAGCTCCTAAAGTGAATGTGGAGTTCTTAATAATGATTCTGGTG